GCTATGTGTTTTCCTATGGAACCAATCTACCCTTCACCTTTCCTTACCGGAGTTGCTTGAAACAAACAAAATGTAATACTGGGATCGACACTACCATTTCTCACAAAATACGTGTTACGGGCGACGAAACCTATGGATGATGGGTGGCAGGCTGAGTGGGCGGCAAATTTTGTTGTTTTATATACCAAAGATCGCTACGGTGGATGGATGGATGAGCAGAAAGACGAAAGTTAACCCCCAAGGGTTTTGTTGCGACGAATACCGACGCAATTTGTCGTGTCGCGGTTCTTCGAAGAAGGGGCGTACGAGAAATGAATTTTACGGGTTAATGGGATATGGATCAGCGTGGGCTGGTGTTTTGCTTTTGCTTTTTGGCTACGAAAAAAAATAGAAGGTATCAAAATGACATACGTTTGAATTCAATCAGTGTTGACCTAAGTGTCGTGATGGATGGTGGACAGAGGTCTAAACTTTTTATCACGACTCTGCGAATGTAAAGACACATCATTCTACCTAACCTGGCAGAACTCTTCTCCTCATTTGCGCTACCCGCCTCACACACGCACACACACACACACACACACACACACAAGAATGTTCCGAATTTTTCGAATCTTTCCCCGAAATCCCGACGATGGGGACCAGCACCTGGACTTCTATCTGGTCCTCGGCTTTCCATCGTGACCGAAACCTGAAATCATACATGAACGACACCTGACGCCGCAGAATAATTCGCCGCTTCGCTTCAGCAAGAACTTGATGTAATCATACATGAACGACATCTGACGCGCAAAAAAATCCGCTTGCTTTCGCTTCAGCGAGAAACATGACGTACAACTTGTGTGTCTAGACGATCTGGAGAAGAGAAAAACGTCAAGCATACTCCCCTTTCCAAGTGTGTGATGTAACTTGTGGGAAAACGTATTTCCATGCCACTGCGAACCTTATACACGATTTTACGTCTCAATGCTGTGTCGGAGGGATGATGTGCTGACCTACCCGCAATGAATGAGTGAGCGACTAGTTAGCCTCTGTTGTTGTCCAGGATCACTATACACATTCGTTTGGCTGTTCTCAAATCGGCAAAGTAACCGTCATGATGAGTGGAATCATGTTTGTGTAATGTCGTTGTTCTCATACATAGTCTATGCATTACTGTATTGTATATGCCTCTTTTGAGTGCGATATTCTGCAGCTCATGCCAGTGTACATGCTTCCTCCAAGCCAGCCTACGGGTATGCCGATCCTACTCCTCCATCTCCATGTCGTCGCCACCGCTCGACTGGCCGTTTTGCCGCGAGTTCGACTTTGGTACTGAGGCTTCCTTGTCGATCATCTGCCGTGAGACGGAGACGATGTTGTCTTCGATGAGCTGCTGGCCGACGTCTGAGATGTCTGTGATATTCTGTTAGTATACCATTTCAAGCAAGACACGGATTTCAACGTACGCTTCTTGGGGTCGACCTTTCCGACGTATCGCGTCTTTAGTTGATCCTTGGTCAACTCTGTCTCCTCTTTCACTCGCTTCTCGTAGCCGTCTGCCAGTGTGACGAGCTTCTGCAGCCTGTCGGTATTCCGCTCGCCCTCGCCCTTGAAGTCGTCCATGAGCAGCGCCTCTGTCCATACGTGCTTGTGCAGGTTCATCAGCATGTTCTCCTCCAGCGCAGTCTTGCGGTAGTTGATGCCGATGGAGTAGTAGTGGCGGTTGAGGCCGTGGATAAGCGCCTGGATCGATGGCTTGTTGAGGTGACCGACGTTGGAGGTTGTCTGGCGGGGCTCGTGGCCCATCATCAGGGCTTGCGGGTTGATGAGGCGGAAGGCATCGATGACGACTTTGCCCTTGACCGACTGGATGGGGTCGACGACAACGGCGACGGCGCGGGGTGTGAGCTGCTCGAACGACTGCTGTGTGTTGATGTCGACCGAGGACAGCCAGCAGCCGAAACCAGGATGTGAGTGGTACCAGCCGACGACGGTCTCTTGCCTGTGTTTGTCAGCGACGGATGCGTATATGGGGAGTGGTGGCGGCTTCAAGCGCCGACTCAACAATTGCGTACCTTCCTGTTTGCCTCAACATGTCCATCATCTTGGTTTGGAAGACGGGATCTACGGCCTCGACGGACACACCGGTTCCTGACTGCGGCATGGCAAAGACATCCACCACTCGTACTGTGTAGTCATCCACAAACTCGCCCAGCATCAGGCCCATGACTTCCATGGGTACACCTGCGCGACCGTGCCGCAGCATCTTGAGGAGCGCCAGGGAGGAAATGTAGACGGTTTCGGAGTTGTCGATCAGGTTGGTGTCGCCCTGGGGCCCTCCCATACCGCCCATGCCACCTTGAGCGGCGGCGAGCATCCTAGTTAACCGGTCCATGGTGGGGTACTGGCGATGGTTCTTTAAATTGTTTGAGGCGGGGTATCTGGCGACGAGGTGAGGGTATCTGGGCGTGGACGAAGTGTTGTTGGGCAAGGCGGCGGCGATGATGAAGCTGTTGATGCTCGGAGCTCTCTCACGTAACTGCGCGACTGCATGCGGCGATTCGGTTGTTCCGGAACCGGCACTAGACAGGGGGGCCCTGTCGCAGCTCTCATGGTAATGGCGCGCGAGGGTCTTTGTTCAAGCTCCCGCCATCTCTCTGCCACGCCCCTCCACCGTTCCTTGATTGCTGATACTCGAACACCTTGCATGCTGTAGTCGCCGTCGCCCGCAACATCCAGTCCAACTTTATCACATTTATCACGATAATATCATCACACATCCTCTCGGTCGCATAGCTGTGCGCAGCCACCAAAGATATGACCACCGCTATGGAACCCACGACGGGCTCCTCGTCTTTGAGCAATGGCGTCGCCTCGCAGCCAAAGAAGGTCGCATACTTCTACGACTCCGACGTTGGCAACTACGCCTATGTTGCAGGCCATCCAATGAAGCCCCACCGCATACGCATGGCGCACAGCTTGATCATGAACTACGGACTGTACACCAAAATGGAGATTTACGTAGGTGACTCCGACCTCAATCCTCTATGGATCTGTGCTAACTCACCGGCAGCGCGCTAAGCCCGCGTCCAAATACGAGATGACGCAGTTCCACACCGACGAATACATCGAGTTTCTCCACAAGGTCACTCCCGATAACATGGAGAGCTTCACACGTGAGCAGAGCAAATACAACGTCGGAGACGATTGTCCAGTCTTTGATGGTCTATTTGAGTTCTGCGGTATCAGCGCTGGCGGCACCATGGAGGGCGCTGCGCGCTTGAACCGAGGAAAATGCGATGTCGCAGTAAACTGGGCGGGAGGACTGCATCACGCGAAGAAGAGCGAAGCCAGTGGTTTCTGTTATGTCAACGACATTGTCTTGGGAATCATCGAGCTACTCCGATACAAGCAGCGCGTGCTGTACATCGACATCGACGTCCACCACGGAGATGGTGTCGAGGAAGCTTTCTACACGACCGATCGCGTCATGACCGTCTCATTCCACAAGTACGGCGAGTACTTCCCCGGCACCGGTGAACTGCGCGACATCGGTGTCGGCAGCGGCAAGAACTATTCCGTCAACTTTCCTCTTCGCGACGGCATCACCGACGAGACCTATCGCAACATCTTCGAGCCCGTCATCGAGGCGGTCATGACATACTACGGCCCAGAGGCTATTGTTCTACAATGCGGTGGTGACAGTCTTTCCGGAGACAGGCTTGGTTGCTTCAACCTGAGCATGGACGGCCACGCCAATTGTGTCAAGTACGTCAAGAGCTTCGGCGTGCCAGTCATCGTATTGGGAGGAGGTGGTTACACTATGAGAAACGTAGCGCGAACTTGGGCCTACGAAACAGGAGAGCTCGTCTCGACCAAGATGTCCAAGCAGCTGCCTTTCAACGACTACTACGAATACTTCGCTCCCGACTACGAACTGGACGTCCGTCCTTCTAACATGGAGAACGCCAACTCTCACGACTACCTGCACAAGATCAAATCCGCCGTCATCGACAATATTCGGAGAACCGGAAAGCCATCAGTCGAAGCCTTCACCAACATTCCGGATGTGCCCGCGGGTCTGACTCGCGCAACGGATTCAGACGCTGAAGATGAAGACGATGATCTCGATGCCGACGAGAACAAGGATGTGCGCATGACACAGCGTCAGCGCGACCAGCAAATAGAGCACGACGGCGAGCTCTACGACGCGAGCGATGACGAGGATTACAAAAACAGCCTCGGAGTGCGCGAGCAGCCCGGCACCAAGAAGAGGCGACACATCACCGACTTCCCGAACCCCAACGCTGCTCCAGAGGATGACTTGGACCGCATGGAGACCAATGGTGAAAGCGCCGTATCCACACGGCAAGCATCTGCAGTCGCCAAGTCGCGCACAACAACCCCCGCCGCTGGCGAGCAAGAAGCCGACGAAGATGGTGACATCGACATGGACGCGGCGCCTGCTGCGACTGCACCTGCCGCTGGCTCAACGCGATCACAATCGCCCGCTGGTGTCGTAACCCCACCCGAATCCCCACCAGCCGCGGCAGCAACGACAACCATGGCACCTACTTCAGCCCCCACGGCAGACGTCGAAATGGAGGAGAATGACAACAAAGAAGAGGTTGCCGCCGCTAAAGAAGAAGGTGACGCAGAACGCGACTCCGAAAACGTCAAGGGCGAGGTCCGCACAGAGGTCGCTAAGGATTAAGCACCCAAACGGCGGTTCTTTGCTGCATTTGCGAGGCGTTTGCACTTTTCATCGCACTATTTTCTGGGTCACTTCTTGACGACGGGTAGCGGGGTCGGTGTTTTGGTGTGATGGGAAATAGCTTGCGTGAGTTAGCTCAAGCTAGGGAATACCTTTTTGGATTTTACTGAAGTATGTTATTCTGATGCAATGGGTGCTGTTGTCTCTCTATCATTGTATGTCTTACGTGCTAGAATGAAATATGAATACCAAAGCAACGATCGATTTCACGTCCTGGGCCTCTTGTCGACATATCTTGGACAACTTAACACCACTCCCCGCAAGCCTCAACATCCCACACCGGTCTCTTCCCCACATCCGCACTCGTCTTCTTGCCTTTATTCTTCTTGACCTCTTCGCACGCGCGCACCATGTCCTCATCACCTTCCAACAATCCGGCTACAACACGCTCGGCCATGCCACAAAGCTTCGCAACCAAGCACTTGTAATGCCCCAGCGTACCAGTCGTCTCAATCAGTACACGCATCCTTGGCTTCGCAGCTGTAGACGAAACAGAAGTACCAGTACCAGACGCCGACACAGGAGGACAATGTCGAGATCTGGCGATCTTACTAACGGGACCACCAGTCTCGATACCATTCTTCGTCTTCACCGTTGGTGTTAAGTCGTCTTCGGTGTCTTCCTCCCCCAACACCTTACCTACTCCGTACAATCTCTCCATCTTCATCTTCCTCAGTCCTTCCATTCTCGTCTGTACGGAGCTTTTCCTTCTTTTCTCTTCGAAAACTACTAACGCGATCTTTATCCCCATTTCTATCTCTACATCCTCTTCATCCTCCTCCTCTTCATCCTCCTCTTTATCCCCCTCTTCCTCTCCCATACCCACACGAGGTACACATACAGGTGCTTCGACAATCGGCACACTGACTCTCAGCGGATTGCAGTCCGGGTCGTTTGCGTAGTATCGCACGAGGAAGGCGAGGTGTTTTGAGCATTCGTTGAGGAGGGGTTTGGGGATCGAGGGGTGCGTTAGTTGGAGGTTTAGTTCGGAGAAGATGCGGTGGCGGAGGGGGTCGATTGGTGGTGTCATTTTGAGCGTGTGGTAGGGGTAATGTTGGAGTGTATGTACGAAGGATAATTCTTTGTAGTAGTAGTGGTGGCAAGGGGGATGGTGGGTTGAGGCGGTGTTTATAGCGATGACGAGTATGGAAGGGGATGATAGTTTGCTGTCTTGAGACATTCGTTGCTGCTGTAGTTGAAGAGGTTAGACAAACTGACTTTTTGTTGTCAGAGACGGGTCGGTGCGGGCTTGTTTCAAGCTGCGTCGATTGCTAAGTTTGACATTTAGGTCAGACAAATTCACGATGCCAGTCTAGAGTAAATAAGTCGAAAGCTCTGTGTCTAGTTTCTAGGAATTGCCTCTATGCATGTCTTTCGAGTTGGACAAAAGCTTTAAGAACTACATCGCTGGATCAGAGTACCAGATGCATGTCGTCCAAGTCAATATCCAATCCTGAACTCAGCTGTGGGATCTGCTTGTAGTTACTCTCGTCCAGGGTCTTCCGGATGAACTTGAGTGTCTGTATTCCGGTCAGTACAACAACGCTCAGATCCGCCAAACATATGTCAAGCACTCACCTCAGCATAAGTCGGAGTCTGATCTTGTTTCATCATCTCCAAGAACGCCCACGTCATCGCACCCGTCGCTTCCCCTTCAATCCGCGCATCCGCACTTGTCTGATCGTCCCTACACCCACTAAACATCGTCACCATCTTCTGCTCACTCCCATACTGCCCCGCAAACTCTCCACTTTCCAACCCCTCCTCCTCCTGCTCTTCCCCAAAATGCTTCAGTCCCTTGAAGAACGTACTCGCACCGGCAAGCAACTCCCTCGCCTCCCCAACTTTGCTATACGAGAAACCGCCAGAGATGATATCGCGCGCCTCATTAGCAAGCGTAAGCCCAGCTTTCAAGTTATCCATCAGACTGATCTGGCCATCGCTATCGGAGCGGTAAACAAACGGTAGTTCGAGCGCGCTACCAGAATGACAACAGTCCATTATGACAAACAACGTGCAATCCCGCGCCATATACGTAACAAGATGTTCATGTAAAATGGTACTGGAGATCTGGCCGCGCTGTTCGAAATCCACAGGCACGATGGAAGCATCCATTCCCGTCGTCCTGTTTCCGTCTACGTCTGCAATCTGACCGCCATGGCCCGAGTAGTGGAGGAACAAGGTGCATCCAGGTTCTGAGACGAGCCAGTCCATGGCTGCGAGTAGGTTGTGGCCCGTGGGGTAGTAGGGTGAGTCGTAGGGTACTTCTGGGCGGTCGGTGAGGATGACTCGGTCTTTGTGTGAGTTGGTGTAGCCCCGGTAGGAGAGAAATTCTGCCATGTTGTCTACGTCTGAGTGGCAGCCCTTGAGTTCGTGGCTGCTGCCGACATAGTTGATGCCGATGAGGAGGGACTTCTTGCGGCGGAAGGACATGTTGAGGTTGGATAGAAGGACGGAGTAGGTGTGCGATTGTGATGTTGGAAGAAGGATTCTAGGTGGCTGTGGCTGAGGTTTGTAGTGTGGTTGTTAAGTGTTGGTAGTGGTGGGGTAGTGAATGATGTGGCTGATCACTGCCCAATCAATTCTAGTGGGAAGACGCGTCGCGCCCCGCCCACGTGCATGCGCGATTGTATGCTGCAAACAGCAATACGACATCAACCAAAGTTACGAGGATCTTGGTGGCTGGTTTTGCGACCAGTCTAGGGCATTGCTTCGGTGCAGAAAGTGATGATGACGTCACTTGGTCGTGCGCGCATCTTACAACTTCATGTATCACATACATCACAAAGAGTCGCGGCATGCCGCCACTACAGTACCATGAATCGAGATATCAGTCCACCTCCCTCGAAACGACGCAAGGTCGCGACAAACACAGCGGCGTCTCCCGGGCAAACGGCGCCTCCAAGCACGCCCGCATCTCCAACGCCCCTTCCACCTCTCGACTCAAACACATTACGCATCTTCTCTTGGAACATCGATGGCATCGCTCCATTTCTACAGAAGCCAATCACAGATTTCTTCCAAACTTCCAAATCCAGAACGGCGCTTAGGGACGATGCAAAGAACGCCCGACCATCAGCCTCTCTGAGAGCCTTCCTACACAGACACCAATGGCCGTCCATCCTGTTCCTCCAAGAAGTCAAGATAGCCCACACAGACGAAAAAACCCAAGACGCAGTCAAAAAAGCAGTAAAATCACCCTTACCAGAAGAAGAAGGAACTCCCCATAATAAGCGCCCACTATACCACGTCCACTTCACCCTCCCCACCGACCTCCACAACGCCCGCGGCCCCAAACGCAGCGGCAAAATCTACGGCGTATGCAGCCTAATCCGGCGCGACCTCTACATCCCCTACAAAATCGCCCTACGAACCGTAGACTGGGACAACGAAGGCCGCATCTCCGTCGTAGAACTCCGATCGAAAACCAGCACAGCAAAACTCGCCATCTTCAACATCTACGCCGTCAACGGAACGGAAAACGCGTATCGAGATCCGCAGACCGGTGCGTTCAAAGGAACGAGACATGATCGGAAGCGCGCGTTTCATAAGCTTTTGGCGAGGGAGTGTAGGGAGTTGGAGGAGAAAGGCTGGGATGTACTACTTGCAGGCGACATGAACGTCGCGCCTGACGAGCGAGACGGGTATCCCAAACTACGCATCTTCCCGCAAGCACACGTAGTTAACCGCGCGGATTTCCACGATAAGCTGCTGGGAGGGGGTGGGAAGGCGAAGGAACCGTTTGATGGTGTTGATGTGTGGAGGGAGATGTATCCGCATGAGAGACGGTATACGTATCATTCTAGAGGGAGGAAATGGGGGAGTAGCTGTGATAGGGTGGATTACTTTGTTGCGGGGAGGAGGATGTGGGAGAAGGGGTGGGTTAAGGCGGCTGGGATTCTGGACAGTGAGGAGGAGATGGGGACGAGTGATCATGTGCCGATTTGGGTGGATGTTGAGATGAAGGAGGGGGATGGAGACCGGAAAACGTCGAAAGAGCAAGAGAAGGATGCCGTAACAATCTCATCGTCCTGAGCTACAGGCTTTCTCCAATCTCCACATCGCCATCCAGACGTACCCACGACCCACACCCTTTCACTCCGCCTCCCCCGTATCCGCCACAAAAAACGGACTCGTCCCCATCCCATTAAACGCATTAACCTCCCACAACTCCGTCGTCCCACGCAGCACCTCATACCGATTATAATCCCCACACCCACTCCCCGTATTAACACACTCCGTCGTAATCCGACCCGCAATGCGCTCACCAACCTCCTGCCCCTCGAACCACGCACCGTGCAAGAAACCAAAGTACTCCGCGCTCATCGCCTCGCCCGCAAAATACAGCCTGCCCACATTCGCGCGAAGGTTCTGGTGCATTTCGAGCGTCGTTCCAGCAGGCCAGTTAGAGTAGGAACCGTAGGACCAGGGTGTTTGGGACCAGCGCGGGTAGGTAAACGCGATGGGTTCAGGGACCGTGATGTTGGGAAACATTTTGCGGAGAACTGCCATACCCTCCGCTTTTGTAGTTTCATCGTCCTGCGCTTCCACGCGGTACGACTGTTCGTCTACAAGCGTAGCGAAGAGGATGTTGGATCCGGGCAGAAACCCTTCTGTCGATAGACTCTGCCAGACGGTGTAGTACCCACGTGTAGTGGGATCAGCGTAGAGGAAGAATTGCTTGTCGGTTGGCCAGAAGGTTTCGTTGAATTGGAAGAAGAGTTTTGTGTAGGTGCCGAAGGAGAAGGTGGCGATGGCGGATTGCTTCCAGTCGGGGAGGGTGGGCGAGAAGGTTATGGCGTCGTTTTGGAGGACGCCGAGGGAGACGGTGGAGATGGCGTAGTCGGCTTCGATGCAGGAGCCGTCGGAGGTGAGGATCTCGACACCGGTGTCGGAGTAGGTAATGTTTGTTACGATGGTGTTGAGGAGGAGGCGGGGGTCAGCGGGTTTGAGAAACTTGGAGGCTTGGTGCTTGAGCCAGGTGTTGAAGCCGCGTTGGTCGGTACAGACTATAAGAATTCTTGTCAATGGTGGCCTCAAATACAGGTAAAGAGATACGTACAGTTGCTGACCTCTGAGAAGCCATAGTAGGTCAGATTATATCCTGTGATGCCGTAGACGAAGCTTGATTCCTCCGGCGTCTACAAAGCTTGCGTATTAGCATGTCTCGCAATCGATCATTCCAGATAGCTTACCTGAGCGGTCTCCCAATCCCAGAGATAGTACTCCACAGCCTTGCGCGCCGGATCGCCCTTTGGTCTCCACCCGCTTTGCCAAAGACCTGCACGGAAGCTCCTGTCTTGCAAGTTCTCGGAGAGTAGCGTTCCAGCACTTTGCTCGAAAACACTCCAGTACTCTTCAAATTCATCCAGTAAGTTCGTGAAGTCCACAGCGCCCGTCTCGTTGTAGGTCGTGACGGAGAAGGAATCAGAGTTTGGGCTGGAGAGGTTAACTTGTTTTGAGAAAGTCCAGACGGGGTTTTCTGGACCATCTACTGTGTTTTCACCCAGACCAGAGATCCAGTTGGCGCCGAGCTCGACTGTGTAAGGGTTGCCGCTGGAGTCCGATCCGAATTTTGTATTTCGCATGCGACCACCGATGTGATCTTGGTACTCGAGAATCAGGAAATCGGTAACTGATTGATTGGCAAGCGCTTGCTACAATCCATTAGTAGCTGGCTTAGATATAACCGTTGAGCCTCCGAAGTGTATGGTATCAGATGAATTTTGCGTTGTTCTGTTCCTCTTGAAAATAGTCTCAATGTAGACTTACAGCTGATGTGATACCGGCAACTCCGCCACCGCTACAAGTTTTTAGTCAACCTTTGATCTGTGTTCTTGGAGATAAAACCTACATGATGGCCACAGTAGTCTTCCTACATGTGCTGTTGTTGGCCCGTCCATGCACTGCCGGCGCAGCGAAGGCCAGTGGTACAAGACCAGTGGCCAACAGCAACGTATCCGCCAACCTCATGATGAATACGCTTCGAGAGATAGTTGTGAAGGATGTAAGGCTTACTGCAGTCTGACGCACATCGACAGATACTTAAAGCTTGACCTAGGAATGCATGCTTGAATGCATATCTCAAGTACCATCCACTTTAGTTCCGCCTACGTTCCTTCCCCCGCATTAGTCCCACGGCAACGGCCGGGGATGGCGGTAGTAATCGAGGTACAGTAATAGCGGTTAGTCGCATCTTACCTATCACAGATAAGCATGGGTTCATGGGTTCGTGACATGGGTTCGTGATCCGGTGTTCATGTGTCGCAACGCAGATCTTAGACCTGCCTAATATGGGCATAACCTCATGGAAACTTGGAAGTAGAGTAGCAGTAGAATGACGGCTAAGTTCAGACGCAGTCAGGACGGATATGCAGCTTGATTGAAAGAGCATGGTGTGGAAGGTAGTACGAAGGCCGATGTAGACCGGGGGTTACTGGCGGGCGCCGAAGATGATAAGAGCGCCGCGTGTACCTGCTGCATGCGCAAGGTGACGTCGGTCTAGATGGCATGTGCTCGTCGGTATGACCGTAGTGCTCTTGCCGTTATTTTCGTTGGAGGTCGTTGTTGAATGCGAGATGATGCTGTCATAGGAAGTGCAGCGTCGATGCTAGCTGGGCGAGGCTGACCCGTAGTTCCACCGCGTGAACCCAGGGAAGCTATGACCACAGAGGTCTGCTCCCACACCTCCACAACCATCGCGTGATTTCGACGCGTCCACGGGTATGCGCGCGACAAGTTGAGTTTAACCGAAAGATGTTGAAGAGTCTGAACGCGTCTTATTACGCGAGCAGTCCAAGACGCGGGAAAAGCGCAAGGTTTTCGGGACGGCACGATAGCGGGGTTTTTGGTCATGTCATCTTGCGCTCTTCGCCTTTCGCTTCCAATGTCACTCCCATTTCTCGCAGCTTCCATTGACACTCAATTGCTCTCCCGATCTCTGCTTCGCATCTCTACTATCGCGTCATTGTCTCTTCAAACGTACGGCAACACAGCCAGGATGCAGCCGAGTAGCAGAATGCCCGATCAAGGTAACGTCAGATAGCAGAACGCATGAGACCGGTGTTCGCTTGCCAGCATGTTTGCTGGCAGCGATCTGAGAGATACGGTCTGAACTTGATCAGGTTAAAGCCTGCGAAAGGACTCATGCTTTGCTCCCTCGCCGCGAGGCTGCTACTAATGGCTTTAGGTCGCCGTCATGGACCCCATCACGAACCCGCCCGATGAAAAGAAGTCGATATTCGCCCCGAACGCGAGAAACGAACCCGGACTACCTGTCAGCGCACACGATACCGAGCATGAAGGAGTGGAACACCAGAGCAGATGGCAGGACATGTGGAAGGCGTTTGAGAGGCAGCTTGTCGCATACAACCTCGAGGCTCGCGGCATTGAGCGCGTCGAGCCGGAGGAGCGTCAGGACTTGCGCCTGCTTGGATACTCTCAGGTGGCCATCATGTGGTTCAGCGTCAACCTCGCGGCGAACAACATCACGCTGGGCATGCTCGGTCCTGCCGTCTTCGCCCTCGGTTTCCTCGATTCCTGCATGCTGGCCGTCTTCGGCGCGTTCGTTGGCTGCCTCGTTGTCGCATACATCGCAACCTTTGGCCCGAAGAGCGGCAATCGAACTATGATCTTCTCGCGATACGTCACGGGCTGGTGGCCGTCGAAGGTCGTCGTCCTGCTCAACATCATCGTCTTACTCGGCTACGGCATGATCGACTGCGTAGTCGCTGGGCAGATCCTCTCCGCTGTCTCAGGCAACTCCATGTCCGTCGTTGTCGGCATCATCATCGTAGCGATCATCGCATGGGCTATCACAACGTTTGGCTACCAGATCTTCCACTACTACGAGCGATGGGCTTGGCTACCACAACTCATTGTGTTATGCATTCTAGCTGGCGTCGCCGGTCCGCAATTCAATACCTCATCCGAGTCTCACGGCGACGAAGATCCAGATACCATAATCGGGAATCGCATCAGCTTCTTCGGCTTGACACTCGCTGCGGCTATCACGTACGGCGGAGGAGCAGCAGACTATTTCGTCTACTATCCAGAACACGCATCTTCGTTCAAGATCTTTGGCATGACCATGCTCGGTCTAATGTGTAGCTTCACGTTCGCCTTCGTCTTGGGCATCGGCCTGGCATGCGGTATGCTTACCAACACGGACTGGGAAGCAGCATATGGCGTATCGCAAGGCGCTCTCATAGTCGAAGCATACAAGCCGCTGGGCGCGTTCGGCTCGTTCTGCGGTGTGGTAGTCGCCTTGGGCCTTGTCGCCAACCTCATTGTCCCTACCTACTCTTCCGGCATTGACGCCCAGATACTAGGCCGCTATGCAAGTGTTGTACCGAGAGTCATCTGGAACACTGTTGGCGTAGTCATCTACACAGTTTGCGCACTAGCAGGGCGTGCCCATCTCGCCGAGATCTTCACCAACTTCCTCGCTCTCATGGGTTACTGGGTCTCGGTCTGGATCGCCATCACCCTGGAGGAGCATCTGATCTTCCGTCGCAAGACCGGCTTCAATTGGCAAGTCTGGAACCAGAAGAAGAAGCTACCGCTGGGTATTGCCGCCTTCACGTCGTTCGTGATTGGCTGGATTGGTGCCATCATGTGTATGGCCCAGGTCTGGTACATCGGACCTATTGCTAAGCAAGTTGGGACTTATGGGGCTGATGTATGTGCATGTGAGAAGTCTGAGATATGCTAAGCTAACGTGCATAGATGGGCAATTACGTCGGTTTCGCATGGGCTGCAATTGTCTATCCGCCTCTGCGGGTCTTGGAGCTTAAGCGTTTCGGCCGATGATCAGGACCTTTTCACCGCTCAGAGCGCAATCTGCTTGAAGACGTCTGCGTAACGCCTGAATCATGCAGCAAGAAGTCAATGGCGCTCTGAGTCTTCCTATCGCACATGTCAAGTACAGCAAGCCTTTTTCACCCGTCCTTCCTGTTTCTTTTATCATTGCGTGTGTAATGAGATGAGGTCGAAAACGACATGGGAAATTATTTGACAAGAGATGGCCAAGGTGCCTAGTATGCGTACACCCCGGCGATAAGTTGCTTTCTTACTGCGTATGCACCCTGAGACTACATCAATGTTAAGTATCCTCACGCACTGTTACTTGTGGTTGTCCGGTGGGCATTTGCCGACCATTTCGATGCAGAATCAAGATGATGTCATCGTCTCTTGCGCAGTTCTAGACCGGAAAGAGCACATCAGACATGCATTTCTTCTTCTTGGTTCCATACACGGATCCCTGGCACAAAAGTATAGGCTTCGCTATCCGCCCGTGACATCCGTGGAATAGCAACCGCGTCTAACTTGGGGGTAAGTTTGGGCATCAAAGGCCATTCACTTCGCATAGTAGTCGTAAAATTCCTTCGTCACTTCATGTAGGGATCTTCAGTCACCTCGTATGCTCTTCTATCGTTGTCGTTTTTTAAGCTCAGTTTGCTATCTTGCGCACGGGCCTGGCAACGCTGTTATTGTGGAAGTCACGGTGACTGCCTGTTGCGCTCGTCTCTGGCTTGGCGTTGTTGTGACTGCTGTCTCTCACCTCACCTCCCCACAACCAAAACAAAATCCCCCACCACACGGACAGCTCTTCTGTCTTTTCCCATCCTTTCCCATCCCCAATCACTACCACCGACCACTGGCAACATGTCGGGCAACCTCATCGACCTCAGTGACGAGGGCACCTCCTCTCAGAACACCACTGGCATCAACGGCATTCACCGTACCAACGGTCTTGTCGGCCGCATGTCACTCTCGGAGAACCGCGCAAGGTCGCCTCCCCGCAACCACTTCGCAGGTCTTGATGTCCTCATGAGACAGAGGCAGTCTTCTACACCAGTCCCTTCCCCAGCCCCGCGACCGGTGTCGCTGCCACCTGCGGCCAGCGGTAAGTGACCAGATCCATATATAAATTACCGCATGACTGACTGACCATATCTAGTCCCTCGCTTTGCTACACGTCTCTCTTTAAGTTCGGAGATGTTCTCCCCGTTGGCTCAGCCGTACAGGGCCCCGGAGTCTGTGGCGTCTTTCCTGCAAGAGCAGCAAGAGCCCTTGACTTCCGCCCTTAGGTCAGATCAGCCGATCCCCGAGTACATCCCTGAGAACAGGATGGAGTTTAGGAGTATGATTGATACCATCAACGACTACAACAAGGCCACCGACAGCGAGTCTGATCATCGTTCTGATCGCCGCTCCTCGTCGCCACCCGTCCCTGACCTCGAACTGTCTGTGCCTACTGGTCCTGACACACCCCCGACCCCGACAACCGCCCATGGTGAGCATCCCGTCCATGATTTTAGACCCGGCCAAACGGCGGCTGCACAAACGAATCCGCAGGTCTGCGGTCTTGTGACCCAAGAGCTGAAGAGGAAGTTGGCGGCTGCTGATGGAGCCTTTGCCAGGCTCAAGCACGAGAACACTGAGCTCACCACCAAGCTAGGCCTTATCGGATTCCATATCGAGTCCACCGAGAACCAGAATGCCGCGATGTCTCGCGCTATGTCTGAGAAGGACGCCGTGATCAAGAAGCAGGAGCTCGAGATGAAGAAGCAGGAGCTTGAGATGAAGAGCAAGATGACTGGTATTCAGGACTTGGACGCCAAGCTAAAGAGCAAGGACGCTGAAATCAAGGCCAAGGACGCTCAGCTGGTAAGGAAAGAAGTTGAGATCGCGAAACATGTTGCTGAGATCAAGAAGAAACATCAACAGCTAGGTGCTCGCAATGCGTTGATCAACAAGTCAAACCCTGGAAGTAAGTTCGAACATCATACTGTACCAAAAGGGCCTAAGCTAACTCATACTAGATGACAAGGTCGGTGTGCATGGCGCCAGGATGGCTGCTAAGGATGCCGAGTTGGCCGCGAAGGATGCCGAGTTGGCAGCGCTCAAGCAGACCTTCGAGGCTCGAGGCCGTAAGATGGAGACCACCCGCTCAACCGTCAAGGAGCACAAGGATCTCATCATCAAGGAGCAACAGAAGGCAGCCGACCATCAGCGGATGGTCGACTATTACCTCTTGCAGAATCAACACCTTGCTGACGCTGCGACTGCACGCGAGAAGACCATAGCTGATCTGCGACAAGAGCTTGTCGTCCGAAAGTTTGAGCTGACCGACGCCCAAGAGCAACGTGGAAACCGCGGCGCCATCGAGGACATCAAGGGCAAGCTTCGTGAAATGACCACTCTTTCCGATCGCCAGCGAGCCCAGCTCAAGGACGCCAAGGACGAACTCAAGTTCAAGGATGCCCGCATCATGGACCTCAGCAACAATGGCGAGCGTCTCCGTGGTGCCATCCATGTCGTCCCGCCGCGCAATGTCAAGCTCCCTGAGACCGTCGTCGCTTGCATCGAGTGTTACAGCATGGATCGAAGCTGCGACAGCGGTACCAAGTGTCGCCCCTGCATGGAGAACAACACAGAGTGCCTGCGCTTCATGTGCTCATTGAAGTACAAGAACGGCAACTGCCCCCTGGTCCCTTGCCCCCTCACCCACGACGGGCAGGGTTTCCTCATGTTGCCGCGACCTCGTCCTGAATGGTGAAAAGCTCAACACGGTGAGCGAGGAAACGATTGATGGACTCTCATGAGATTTGATGCATGTTTCTCTGGCGTCGGCGTCGGAGTTGGCATCTGTGCGTTTGACCAAGCCTGTGGGCGGCCGAGTGCTGGCAGTTTTCTGACCGAATAGCACGATTAGGTAGAGCCTCACTAAGGAAAAAGTCTTCAAGATGAAGCATTCATGAACTTCTATCCGAGTTTGACCGTGATGACCAGGGTGTAGATCGTGCTGTTGTGACGTCATTTGTTCGCCTTGCTAATACTAGCACGTCGGGGCGGAAGGCAAGCGCGAAGGATGCCGCTCGTACATGATCACCATGCGCATCTCGGGCTCAGAATTCTCCTTCAATTTTAACGACGAGCTATTCAGAGTGCTGATCAGAGGCGTGCAGTGCAGTCCGCCTCGTGCCGGGGTCTGCGTTGTGGCGTGTCGCAGACATCTGAAACCGCGTGCGGCGCGGCACCGGGCGTCTTCACAGTCAGCATGGCATCGCGGCTGCTGCCTTCCTGGTTGTGCCTGCCGTCTGCGGATCTTTTAGTTTGATCCTATTTCCTCGTTTACTGCCTCTCTCTAAACAATTCACAACAGCACGCAATCATGGAAGAGATGGCAATGAAGACGGGTTCGAGCGGGCGTGAAGTACGGGCGGTTAGTATTATTGCCGTACATGTTCGCTTTATCAATTCTAATGAGCATATAGGCTTCCGAAGAGGAACCAGGTCCCGTAATTCGACAGCGCCCACTGTGGAGAGTACCGCAACTAGGGCTGCTCGTATTCGCGATAGTATTGCTGTATTGGAATGCGTGCCCTCCCGGCCACACGACGACTTCTGACCGATCTTTATACGACACCACACCGGCCACCGTCAACTACGCCAGATGTGAATCGATTGTTTCTTCTGAAGCGCGCACATTCGGCTTCAACATCTCGAACAGCGACGGAGCTGGAACCCATTGGCGTCTATCCGACTCATCCAATTCCACCGGTCGTCTATCTGGTATAATTCACGTCCAGAGAGGCGACGTCGACCAGACCTCAAATATCGAAGTTCGGCTCGAAATCAATTCCAGCTCTACTGCAGACTACAAGAATGTTGTTTACAACCAAACTGCAATGAGCCTCAGCCTGGACTATCTTCCCCCCGACGATGACGGAGACGTGTGTACAGAGATCAAAGTTATGATCTACTTGCGTCCGGAATCACCCGCGCGTTCATTGGATATGCTCGAGATCAGGTCCGAGACATTCGATCTATGGGTTCACGACTGGGCCTGGCAGATCAACAAACTCATCACACATACTTCGCACGGCGAGTACACATACGAAGGCGGCAAAGGCCCGGACCCGTTGCATCCCCACAAAATCGATTCCAGCTCAACAACAGGAGTCATATGGGGATGGTACGGCTGCGAAGGCAAATTAAAGATACATAGCAAAAGCGGGCAGATCGATCTGATGCTGGTACCGCGGTATACGTTCATTGGTAAACCGATGCGACCTGAAGAAATCGTGGTGTATACAAACAGCGGAGACATCAACGTCGCTGCGCTCTGGGAATATTGGCCACAGCAGCCTTTTACACATTACACGGAGATTCACTCGGCTTACGGCAATGTAGTCGCCGAGATACCACATGGCTCGTACACTACTCTCGCGAGTATCAAAGGCAACGTAAACGCATATCTACGACCATTTGCTGCCATGAGTCCGGATGATGAAAGCACGATCAAAACGACTACATTGTATGGTAACACAGTTTTCCGTCTGGATAATGCAGGCCGAGAGCTCTTGGATGAGTTGTACGATCCCCTTCTCAGTACGAAGAGTTCGCACTACGCCGGCACTGGTGATATGTACCTGCGGTACCCGTTCAGTTGGTTTGGGAAAATGGATGCGACTGTGAAGAAAGGCTCGATCAAATTTGGGGGCAGTGCGCTAGATGAGGTAGAGGAAGGTGAGGGGTTTGTGAAGGCTGTCAGAGGGAGAGGCGCGGGAAGTCGGATGGATGCGCATGTTGAGTGGAGGGGGATCATGGATGTCACACTGGGTATTTGGGATACGGATGAATGAGTAGCGTATCCGGTCGTCATACTGTTATCATTGCGAGTGCGCATGACCTTCTATCGATACACCAATCACGTATTATTGCTGTCGATCAACAGTCATGGGTGATTCCAACAGACTGCCATACATGTTTCGCAAGGCCAAACAACAACGGGCCATAAACCTCGCTGAGCTCTGATCTTCCAGCCCGATCGGCAGAACTGACATGAAGGTTTCGCATTGGGGTCAGGCCTACTCAGTAGATATCTCGGTGCATCTCCACAGCCTCACGCAGGATCGACTGTCTGCCTCATGACTGAGGTAGTTCTAATCAATCCTGCTACCGCCCTGTCGCTTCTCCGCCTTGCTGCTTACGTTTTCTGACTAAAAAGCGAGGCGTTGTCGACACCCCAGGTTTCAAGATGGTTCAAACCGAAGCGCCGGGCGTTATTGGCCCCACAACTTGTACAATGATCGAAATATCCCAACCAAGCATTGAAACATTCGTGAGCGACGTCTTTAGACCCCAAAAGGTACGCCCAATTGATGACACAGGTGGCACGTATACACAACCGACCTGAGAATCCCTGATGTCAGCTCCGTGCCGCTTCGTGAAGATGGGTTTGAGATCGAAAGTCTGCTCAGACGGTCTCGTATATGCTCACTGCTGACAGTAGATCCTTGAAGACATGCTCAAGGTGAAAAGGTATAAGAAGATCGTAGAGAGAGGACAATGGAGACATCGAACCAGCTCCTCCCCTCATCTCCTCTTCTACATAAGTTCCTCGTCAACATGTTTACGTATCAGAATTCTCTCGCCCTTGGGTCAGTACTTCTGGCACGGACGGTGTTGGGTTACCCCCAGGGCGCGGCCCTCAACCCCACATTGATCACCAGAGACAATGAGTTCATCTTTTCCGCCATCGGGGATTCTTGGGGAGTACGTAAACTCACTCAATCGCTACACGTTGGCTAATGCACAACAGAGCGGAGTTCAATGGGACAACAACACCGCATACGACGGAAACGAAGACGGATGCATGCGCTTCAAGTACGCCTGGTCAACCGTAGTCAACGACAGATACCAGGACTGGACACCAAACACAGACCAAGATCCCCAGTTCGAGTTCAGAGCCTGTTCCGGCGCCCATTTGGGAAAGAACATCCACCACCAAATGGACAAGTTGACACGACCGAAGATGACCATGCTCGAAGCCGGCGGGAATAATGCCGATTTCTACCCCATGGCCGACAGCTGCCTCTTCCATACCGACCCGAGAGTAGACTATGGGACTCATTACGAAGACGACGATGCTGACAAACCGACAGGATTGTGCAGGAAGGAGATCAAGCTAGTACGAGGAAGAGTCGGAGACAACCTCAAGAAGGCAGTCATAGAAACTATCGATATCTGGAGGGCCCACCCTGCTGTCAGCGGTAACGACGCAACACTCTTCATGCTAGGATATGCGCGCTTCTTCGCCCTTGACGACGCGTGCAACGACTGGGATTTTGGCAGACAGTTCCAATTCCCATGGAACGCACAGAAGCTCAAAAAAGAAATGCGACAGGAGTTTAATGATCTGGTAAAGTCTACTTCCATGGCACTCTCGTCTCACACACTAACACCCCTTACCCGCTTAGGTCGACGCTGTGAACCTTGCGATCCGCTCCGCCGTCGAACACTACAACGACCCAAAAATCCGATATATCGACATCAACCCCGCCCTGGAAGGCCACCGCTTCTGCGAAAAAGGCCACAGCTTGAGGGTGCAGCTCGACCCTAACAGCACCGAGGTGCATATCTTTAACAACCCCATCCGGCGGAGTATCACCATCCACGACGGCGACAGCGTTACCACATACGAGCCCAGCGACGACCCAGACGCCCCCAGCCCACCCGAGGATATCATTGAGAAGCTAGGCAGATACCCCGAGGGCGAATCCGTGCAACAAGATGAATACACGATAACCACCTTCCGCAACCCCGAGGAACCAAACTTGAGCATGGAGGTGAAGGTTGAGCCGCAGCCTCTAAACGGTGGGAGTGGGAGCGGGAATTTCAATGGATATATAGCGCGGACGTTGCATCCGAAACAGGATGGACACAAGGAGATTGGCGATGTGATTGTCGGGGCGCTCAAGAAGAATTATAGACCTGATGAGTCGGCTCCTGAGCCGCCGACGAACCCACCGAAGCCGACACAGCCGCCGCAGCCGGAAACTACGGTGCCCGGGTTTAACTGTCCGACCGGGTGTACTTGTAATTCTGGGGTTCCGCTTTGTTTCTAGGGTACTGGTTTGCGGGGGATAGGCGTGGTGGATGAGAAGTCGCGGGCTGATTAGCTTTCGGCGTTGAGATGTGAGGGCGTTTCTTTCGGGATGGTTTCGAGAAACAAGATTGGATCATCGGACGCAGCGCGTCTACATCGCCTTGATAGTGCTTCTGTCAGCTTTTTGGCCTGGTAGACTACTGAACATGGACTAGTGTTTGGATGTTCGACCTTCCCTGGAGTTTGGAGTCATATTTGCCTTGGTATTGGTAACGTTATCGCATTCTGTTGCGCTTGCTCGTACGGACGTTCTTCTACTCCCGCCATACTTACATATTGCGCTCAAGCTGTCAGAGCTGATATATAAGCGCGAAGGCCGTGACGCTCCCGTGACAGGAAATGCATGCGCGGTAAAAATGGTGTGCTAATGTGAGACCTGACCGGTCGGAGCTAGGATCGATCGGCCCTCATGTCAATGGTCTGGAATCTTTGGGAATAATTTATCTGCTGGGTTCCTAACCAGTCAAGACGTCACAGTCGGTTCGCCGTGCATTATATAAGCAGTAACACAGACGAGGCTGCTCGAGGCTTGGTGGTGGTCCTGGAACTCGGCTCCGCGTGCACTGCCATTGGCCCCCAACGACCGTTCACCTTAGGGCGAGGCAGACATGATTGTGATACGAGTCACAAGTCTGGTCCTGAGACCAATCCTGGAGTTTCGCGAAGCTCTCTATTTATGGCTGAGATAAGCCCATGATCCCTGGTATTGTGGTCGATCTGGGCGTTGGTGTTCCCAAAGAAATGGATGTCGGAACCCGCCGTGGCAGAGACGTGTGAGCAATAGGAAGAGCGCGGCATTGAACGTCGCGGCACAAAGGCGATTAGTCAAGAGAGATGATGACAGAGCTAGAGTCACGAGTGTGCTGAGAATAAGGATGATGATGCAGTTGTTGGTGGATTTGCAGAGTAGCGGCGGGAATTGGGTGGGCGGCCGTGGCGGCCACGGCCAGGAACCAGCCCAGCGTTGTGGACCTCCAGGGCTGAAGCGGGGCACCATGCGCCATGCGCGAACGGCCAAACATCTCCACGTCCCCAATCCCGTCACTAATGTCGCAATTTCCTCTTTCTCTCTCCCTCGATATCACAGATGATTGAGGGCCTTATCATGCACAACACCGCCATGGTGGCGATCCAGAGTAAGCCTCCTGCTCGGCCTACCAGGCCTCCCACGAACGGAAGCTCTAACCGTCCTAGCTAAATTACACGATGCCCATATCCCACGCACAGCCACATCACTACAGCATCGCCCGCGACGCGATCCGCTTGGTTGAAGATGAAGAATGCATCTATACCCGACTAAAGGCAATGGCTCGCCTGATGCACCTAATTCAGTCTTCCGAGTCGCCGACTCGGTTGACCGAACTGCCTCGCACTTAGACACCGAAACGGGTCACCTCTGAGACACATGCCAGAAAGCTTAACTTGAGCCTCCTCTCAGGCTTCCCTCTGACTAAAAACGGGACGATCCAATGATACTTCCTATACAGGCCGTCAAGCGGGTCACGGCTACCAAACTTAGCCCTATATCCGACCCTACACGTTCTGGCCGAGCTTTCAACGTTGCTCTAGCGCGTTCTTCAACGTGGAAACGACCATTCCTACTCGTTAGATGAGCACTAGATGGGTGATGGGGCGAGATCGAAAGAGTAGAGTGCTGCGACAGCCATGACTCCGGCTGTGAGTCGGTGGGAGATCGTTGGAAATGCGCTCATGCTCGTGCTGAGATGAGAGGCCTCATATCATATATAAGAGTCGGGATGGGGCACGGTTAGGGCCATCAACTCAATGAACATCATGGATATCTCCTTCTCGCCGGCTCTTGCTATGACTTCCCTTCAGGTCCAATCTCGTACTATCAGCAACATCGAGCAGTCTTCCATCGCCGTTATACACGCAGTCTCTGTCCTAGAGGCACACCAGCTTTTACTCGAAGTATACAGAGTTGCCTGGCACTTCATTCAACAGTCTCAGTACTCAAGTCAAATGTCACACCGAGGGCCATACTCAACTTCTGGAGAGATGAAGGATGGTGGAAACGACCCAGAACCGCCAGCTGCACCACCGTAAGTTCTCACCCCTTCCATTTCCAACTCAACCATCTTCAGACGACTACCACCAAACCAATATCACCCCCATTAACCATTTCCAACCCAGAATCATCATTCTCGCCCAATCCGGTAAAGCACCTGCGCCCCACTTCCAGGTACCAGACCCTGCCGATCTGCCATTCCAGCCGCACCCACCTACGTCATCCCTGTCGTACGTATGCCCAATCTTACCTAGGTAGTTTGTGCAACCATCTCGTATCTTTTGTCGGTCCAATTCCTAACTCTCTCCCCTCATTTCTAGACCTGAACATTCACGACAAGAATCTCAACTCACCGACGCGACATCGAGACCACCAAGTAAACCGGAACCGGAACCTCATCCTGCGCCACCGTGAGTAGACTGAGGAGACAGCCTTGCGCGAATGCGCACACGCGACTTGTTGCTGGAATTGAGCTGACGGGATACCAGTGTAATCATCTTATCGAACCAAACCCACTCTTCTCCCTCTACGTCTACCACCTCACCACCACACGCGCAAACCACACCCACCACCACCTCAACACCCACACAACCAACCTACCCCTTCCTCTCCTACCTACCCGTCCCTCCACCCCAATCCTTCACCAACCCCAACGCTCCCACCACAACCTCTACAATGGGCTCCAAAGTCAGCAAAGTCAAAGAACGCGCCACAGACGGCAAACTGCAACCCAGCCAAGAGCGCCTCGACAAGGAACAGATGAAGGAGCCGAGTAATTACTATTCACACCGTAGCAAGAGCATGCGGAGGAAAGCGGGGAAAGGGGGTGCTACCAGTGATGTGGGAGGGAGTGCTGGGGGTGCGGGGGGAGGGGCTGGTGGTGTTGCTTAAGGAAGGGGGAAGATGATACACGGGAGACTTGGAGGGTGTAGAGGCAGATTGAGAATTTGGATACAAGATAGGTGGTGGCATATTGTGTTGGCGTTTGGGATTGTTTTTCTTCTTTGGGGTGTAGCATAGCGATGCATGGGCATGAGGGTATTCACTTCTCCATCAATACATCAGGTATACTGTGTCTTCTTCGAGCAGCATTTCCCCATTTGCACGAGAATCGGTCCGCTATGTCATGGCGACAACTCAGCTAATCTCGCCGCATCGGTCCGTTGTCATCGCATTTCGTACAATCTCACCTATGTACAAACACGCACACACACGTTTAGACAACTCATTGCGAATGAACACATTACATTACTGAATTCATCTCACATACTATCCTCTTCACCCCCCTAGCACCACTATCTAGTGCATAGTCGCATTCCCACCAACGCGATAACTCTCCGGCGGCCCATTATGACTGTAAACAACACCACCCAGATCCAGAACAACCTTCTGCAGAATAACATTCGCCTCCACAAGCCACAGCTTGAGCGTGTGCTTACCAGGTGCAAGTTCACCGTGGTTAGTCGTGTTCTTCCACGCGCTGTCCGCGACCGCAACACCCCATCCAACAGGAAAGTTGGGCTGCGGCTGGTCGATGACGAACTGGCGGCGGGCTTCGGTCTTGTTGTCGATCTGTGCGATGTACGCGAGGGGTACTTTGGGGTTGATGTTGTGGGTGGGTGTGAGGATGAGGGTGACGTTGAGGCCCTTCGCCTTGGTGGTGGGTGTGAAGGTGACGAAGTCGTATTCTAGACTTGGTGCGCTGGAGGAGTCAAGACCCTCGGCTAGGTTGTTGGCGAGCTTGACGCCAGACATGGTACGACCGTATTTGGGGAGGACCATGTATTCGTTGTCGGAGGAACCAGGGGTGGAGCGCGTGTAGTGCTCTGCTTCGAAAGCGAGTTGACCCGCGGATTCGACAAAGCCGGCGTTGAAGTCGGAGGGGATGGACGTCTTGTTTACCATGAACATGACTTGTGGGTTTCCGCCCTGCGTGCCGAAGTCGGTGGAGCTGGAGAAGTTGAGCTTGCTTTGGGCGCCGAAGCCGTCTTCGACCTTGGTCCAGTCTACGTCGACGTAGATGCGGATGTCTTCGTCGTTAGGTTGCATGGTTCCCTTGGCTTCGGAGAGAGTGACGAAGGGGTCGGCGCTGATGTTCCAGTTGAAGGCGCCGGTGCCGCGATGAGAAATCTCGATCCAGCGCTTGGGGGTGAAGGGTGTCATGGCCGGGAGGGTCAGCGAACCGCCTCCGTTGCTGTGCCACATATCGTCACCGGGAATGGTGGCGTTGGAGCCCTCGACTGAGATGCCCATGTCACCTGCTAGAGAACGCTCTTGAGTCTGAACCCAGCGGAGGTCAGGAGTGGACTGGCGCATAGGCTGTTGCCTGTGATTAGGTTAGCATTATGACTTCAATCGCTAGATCATTTAGAACTTACCAGTATCCTTGGTATCCCAGATGGGTCTGGTCCATCATGTGGTCCCACTTGCCGTTGAGCTGAGTGTGGTAGAGGCGGGTGAGGTTGTGGTCCTTGTTCATGCCATCAATCACACGCTGCATCCACCTATTTGCGCTGTTGCGGCCCATCTGCGCGTAGATGATGTTCCTGGCGCCCGAAACTTGGACATCGACGTGGTTACCTCCAGCAAGAACACGGTGCAGAATGATCTCGTAGAATGCAGGCTGTTGCTCCGGAGAAAGCGCGGCGTTGACCTTGTTGGCGCGTTCGGCGAGTGACTCCCAGTGAGCGAGGATGCGGTCAGCCTCCTCGTAGTTGAGAACACTGAAGGAAGAGGGCTCGACCCATTCGAACTTGCGCATGTTAGCGAGGAAACCGTACTCGTCCATGATCTCGGCGATCTCCTCAGCATGCTCTTCACCGAAGTTACGGGCGGCGAATCCAGCGAGCCACTCGGGCACTGAGTCGTGGTTGTAAGAGTCCATGTCGTAGGCAATGTCGAACCAATGGCTGATGGCGATCTCGGCGGGC